GAGAGTCATTGGAGAGAGAATGTGTACCGGTACCGGTGCTGCACGGCTCCTTCTTTAAGTTTTGCTCGGAGCTCCAGGATGATCAGTCTGGATTAATCTAAACACTAATAAACCATCATCAACATTTCCCAGCAGATCAATATGATCTCTGAAGACACGCTCCCTCTGAATCCTTCCATTGGTTGATGTTCCCCATCAGAGCCAAAGCTCCTCAGAAAGCGGCTCACCTTTATGCAGCTACTGATAAACATGTGATTACATACACACCTTGATCACCTTAAAAATAATCAAACCTGTCTGGAGTTAATCTGCGGATCCAACCCCGTTTTCTTTTTCAGTCAGAATGAAATTACCCCATAGATGCATTTCATGCGCTTCGGCTCACGGACCAACGCGTTACATCTTTATGAGACAAAAACTGAAGAAAAGTACTATTTACGTTCGAGTGAGGTTTTCACATCCTTTTATTTTGTGTGTGTCAAGTCATTGTCCGAGGATAAACGTGGTTCAGTTTCGTCGTTTACGTTTAAACAATGACATATTAAGATCATGAAAAAACATCGGGTTTGATGCTTCTTGATTCAAATTCACTGAATGGAGTCAGACTTCAGTGTCTTTATGTGACTTCTGAGGCTTTCTAGTTTGTTATTGAAAAGTTTGCGTGGCTGCCGCACATTTTCGCCGCAGGTCAAACGTTTGCATACATTTACGCAAACTTTCACGCCCCGTTCGTTTTGTTACATGCCGACTTGTGCGTAAAATATGCCGCTGCACATTTTTTGTGTATACGCATGTTTTATACATGAGGCCCCAGAGCTGAATATGTGATTCAGCCGTTTGAACAGATCTGGACTGAGAACCTCCAGACCATCTGAGCCAGATAACATTTAGTCAGGTTTAGACGTCCAACTGCTTGAAATACAAAGCTAGTACTTCCTGCTCAAAGACCACAACAGAGAAGTTTAATAAAATATCTTATCATTAATGGTCTGATTTATGATGGGACTCGATTAAAACTTTAAACTTGTCAGTCTCTTTGCTTGAGGCAGATCTACAGCCTTTTACCCCTAATCTGACCAGATCCTTGGATATTTTTTTTATGTTTATAATATAAGACAATCCAATGATTTCTAAAAGGACCACAGCACTAACCTGGAGAAGATATCATTATGAGAACTGTGATGACCTTCTTTGAGTCCATCTTCTCCGTACATGTCATACTGTTTCCTTTTCTCCTCATCAGACAGAACCTGGATACAAAACAGCCAATCAACTTCATAGTAAACACATGCACAGTATCATGCAGAGGTATTCTGAACTTTTTCCACATTTTAAGGCTAACATAAAATAGTTAGATAATTTGTAAGTAAATATATTGTTGAAGTCGGATGCATGATCTGATATTAATATCTGTACAGTATGGGTGCATCAATTTATAGGCCAGCCAATTTCTTGGTGCCCATTTCCTTAATTTTGGAAGATCGGTCATTGACCGATTTTTACATGTGAAGCTGATCTTATCCACCGATGTCATCAACCTCGGAAAAAGGCTAAAAATCAACGACTGTGCTTTTCTTTTCTCCCATGAGAGAGGTTTGACTGACAAATCGGCCAACCAGGTCATGTCTGCACATTTACAGTTAACAATAGTCACCCCATTGTTGCCAATTGAGCAACTTTCTTGATATATTGAGCAACATTTCAGACAAAAAAAAAATGGTATCGGCCAAAATTGGAATCAGTAAGTTAGGCTTTTTCAAAGATAGGTAATCAGCGATCATCCACAATACTGCAATTGGTGCATCCATATTGTCCTGATATTGAAAATATGTGCACGATCCATAAGGACAGATATATTCAGTCTAATTCTATGTCTTGCTGTGAGCGGCGTCATGCTTTAGTATTTATTTTGCATTATATTTGGAATCCCGAATTGCACTTTGTGAACCATTTGAAAGAAGGTTGGTTGCAGTTTGTGCAACATGCAGGCTGCATCAACTACATAAAGTATTGTGCCGAGTACAAAGTAAAAAAAAAAATCGTGTCGTATTTTAAATAGTAAAAGGTTAAGCCACATATACTGTGTCAAGCTTTATCTCTATCAAAACGCGCTTACAGTAAAATCCAAATATATTAATGAAATCTGATTTCCAAGCTCACAAATCTTAACAACACTTGTGATTTGTAAGAATACTTAAGATATGCAAATCAAAAGTCAGTAACAAGGGAATGTGAACGTTTGAGACGGAAACACCTGCAGCAGTTTTTAAAATCCACTCCCAGTCATCCACGTCTGACTTTTCCTGTCGCCAGCTGTGATACGCTACAACCAATCAGCTGCAGCCACACGGTGTAGTCGGCCAATCACAGAGCTTTGGTCGTTTTTAATAGTAACCAAATAGCAAGCGCACAAAAGACTTTTATAACAAAGCCGTTTGGCACTTCTGGTACAATTTTGTTCTACATTGCATTTCATTGAAGTTTAGAAACACTCTTGCTGTTGAGTAACTATGCTGTAAGGAGGAAGTGTGTGTTGGGCCTCATTCATCTATTACTGGTACAAAACAATAGTTGTATGCTCACCTCATAAGCTGCTCCCAGATCTGCGAATTTGTCCTGTGCTTTGGGGTCGTCGGGGTTCCTGTCGGGGTGTAACTGTAGAGCCAACTTTCTGTAGGCCTTCTTTATATCCCTGATGGTTGCCGTCTTGCTCACCCCCAGGATCTTATAGAAATCTCGACTACATCAAAGAGGGAGAGAGGGGAATGACGACATGTTCATTATTCCATGGACAGAAACACACCGAGCTCTGGTAGCTTCCTAGTCAGTGAAGCAGTGGTCTACTAGAGGAGACAGCAGCCGGTGTTAGGTTCAGGCTCCCTCCGTGTGTCTGCTAGCTCCATGCTAACTAAGCTAACTAAACCAAAACATGACCGCTAACACCAACCAGCACGTTGGGGTTCAACAGCATAAAAGGGCTTGTCGAAACAACAAAACGCCTCTTGGAGGTTCTGTTCAGAATATCAGCCTGCTCTCCTCCACACCCGACCCGGGTAGACCAATCACAGCTAAACATGTGTACCTGCTTGCAGTGCCGTTTCACCGCTGGGTCGCTGCTTCTGCGAGCGACACCCGCTTACCTGGCAAGCACTGCCGTGGTGATATAAAGCAGCAGGCAGCACGCATTCCAGATGTTAATCCCTTTCTTAGCCATAGATCCCCGGAGTCACGAAGGAGAAGATACAGAAGGTACCAGCCGGCTTTTGAAGCTCAGATCCCGCAGCCACTCACAAGCCTTCTTCCTCCTGTCAGAGAGAGCCCTCCCACCGCGGCGTGTCCACTATCTCCGCCCACACTTAAAGAAGCTCCAGCCGCATGGACCCATGAGTCGAGGTTACTCTTTCTGTTGAGAGCCACAAGTGACACAATGCAATATAAATCAATGACATCTGGATATAACTGGAAACATATATGCATTGAAAAATTAATGTTATTTATAATTATTGAAATGTTAAAATAATTTCTAAAAGCTTGCATTCATTGTATGTTAAAATCCAGGTTATTTAGCATCAATTTAATTAACTGTTTAATAGTTTGTGTAATCTCAGTAAATTTGCTGTTGGCCTGCAGTAAATCAGATGTTGAGGTCATTGTCATTCGCTGTTATCACAAAAGTTGTCTGAAATAACCCATGACAATTAATGCATACCTAACTGCAAAAAAATATTTTTTGCTGTAAGCTTATCCTGTTAATTACATTTTAAATAGTGCTTTTTTTATTTACCATAATATATTGTAACATACTTAATTTCTTCTGAAGTAAATAAGTTGTTACTGATTCACAATCTGGAAATTATTATTAAAAATATTTAAGATTTGCACATTATTGAAAGATCTCTTTAATTAATAAATTGTGTAATGTAGTTTGATTAGAAAGCAAAATACAAACAGTCTTACAGTCATTTTAATTTATTATTGGCTCACTAGTTGATAATTAAACCAGAGGTTATTCATGGTCATGAAAAATGTTATCAAAAAGCAAGCTAGTAAGCTCACAATGTGAAAGAACAATGCAGTGTGGATGCAGTTTCAGATAAAGTCAATTCAATTTATTTGTATGTTGCAAAAATTAAAATTTATTTTAAAATGTGCATAGTTCATTTAATCCAGTCATACAGTCAAAAGTAAATTACATGGATTTTATTTCTGTCCTCATTATAGAACACAACCCTGTGTTCTAGTTTACTTTTCCTGCTGACTTTTAGAATGGAAAAAGTCCAGAGTTATATTAATTTGAAATTAATGCCAGTGGTGCTGATGTGGCTAAGCATGAGGAGCCCCATTTGAATCAGGGTCTTCCCAAGCCTTTGTTAGGTCTTGTGGAAAATTCTGTTCCCTTGTGAAAATCGAACTTACAGGATTTGTTGTTGATGAAGAGGGGAATAAGCACAGTTAAAGAGTCTGTGAAAAAATAATAAGCACCCATATTAAAGAGGGGGAACAGATTATATCACCTAAAATATTTGGTACCCCCCTCATCACTTTGGCAAACATAGAACAAATGTTTACAAATTCTCAGTGATTGTTATGCGTGATAGTATGATTGGTCACCAAAAATTAACAACTGGAAATTGATTTTATCCAGCAACCTGTCATATTTTACATTAGAACGGGATTTTCCAGAAAGCCTGGACTCTAATTTTTTTAAGGAAGTCTTAATTTTTTGTGCCCTACTATCAGCCAGCTTCCATCCTCTTATATCATCAGTGAAAAATTATAAATACACACAACGTGTTGGAAATCCGTGTTTGGTGACTGACGTTTAATTGTCAGGTTAAGTGACAAAAGTTGGAACTCATATAATTATTTCAAGTTACAACCTTGACATAATTATATGAGTTGTTTTATCGAGAAATCGATCAGAAAATGGTCTGACCCGCTTCTCTGGCTGCAGTGCGCGCTCCCGACACACGGGAAACAGATTTTCGAGACCAACTCCTTCATGCAAAGTGCTGCGCGCGCTCCCGCGAGCTGCGCGCGCCGCTTGTCGGGAAGGGAGGCGCCAAAGAGGAAGAATATTCAACTTTACTGTGTGTGAATGAAAACAAACCGTGACAAGTATACTCGGAACATCGGCGTCCGTCTAATGACACCGTGACGAGCAGTTTATCCTCCCGAGGGACTGAACACATCGTTTCCTGTGTGGGACAAAGTTCGGAGGTAAGAGCGCTCCTGGCTCTGTTAGCCAGCTGTAGCTAACGTCGGCTTGCAGCTGAACTTTAGTCAAGTTTACTTTTCGGAAAACAAGTTGGCTGTCCTTTGTTATTGCGTCACGAAAATGTTCTATGATTGATTTACTTCATTTACTTTCTACTGTGGTGCGGCTTAAGAAAGCAGCTCAGGTTAGGTCGCCCTACGAAGAGATGAAATGTCAGGTGTGGATGACACCAGCAGTTGTCATGGGAGCAAAGCTGGGTCTATGTTATGTTCCACATCCAATTCCACCCTCAGTGTTCAGACTTCAGGCACAAATAAATGCTACCACTTTTAGAAGAAGCTCAAAATCTTTGAGCAACATCATAATGAGGATCATGTTCAGAATGAACAAGCATACCTGTCTATCTGGAATAAGTAGGTGTGCCCAATCTGCAGGTTTTGACTGTTGCTTCATTCCAAAAAACAATGCTATGGTGCAGCTATAGAAGGTAGCTGTGCTTATGCAGTTAAATCAGCAGCTAATGAGGGTATATATAAAAAATATTCTGTAATCTGTAATTAAAAACTGATATGTTCTTGTGAACACTGCCATGCACTGTTTGAGGTAAATAAATCTGGGCTTTTTATTTTACAACAAAATATCTAGAAAGGTGGTCTTCACTGGCTCCTGTCATGATTTAAATTTAACTCCAAGCACAGAAAAACCTCACAGTCATTATTAACTCATAATGATTCCTTTGCAAAGCAAATATGGAGCTGGTACTTTGTTGAAAATTAAGTACTTCAATTCAAAGTATGACAGAGGCAAAAAGCAAATCACAAGGAAAATATCAAGACAATATGGCCGAACAACAATGGGCAAAACAAAAAAATAGTCACATGAATCATGATCAGAGTATCGGGATGAAATAACCAGACCAAAATAGCACTGTTCAATGTTAGGTTAACCATTTACATAGACAGTCTAGTCTATGTAAATTTTGTAACCATGGGAACAGTGTTGACACTTACATGTTCACACACATGTTCAGGTGTTGTACTATAAACATTTCTGGCACATTTAGATTCCCATGTTAAAGGATGGCATTCGTTCGTTTTTGCAGGGGCCTCATACAGTATGGTAGTATGATTTACAACATTTGTTATGAAAGGTAATAATTTTCTGCTTCATTTCCAAAACTGAGTCACCATTAAAACCCAGCACCTGGACTGCTTCTGCTAACATTTGTGAAAGAACGAGTCGCTGTCGGGTGCTCGGTGAATTCCAGCAGGCTTTCCTGGGAAGTCCAGTCAAACTTCTCCACTGCTGAATACGACACAGACTGCTACTAGGGATGTTATAGCGAAGTGAAAGAATGAGAACGTCAGCTGTCAGAAAATAACTTTTTCCCATCTAAGGGAAGCAACTTCCTCCATATGGTGTGTTCTCTACCTGTAAACTGAACTTTGAGGCTTATGACACTCTGTTTTCTTGTCACTCTATAAAGGCCTGATTTGTGGAGTGCACAAGTAAGTGTTCTCTGACATTGTTCTCCAACTAGAAAACTTCTGAAACCAATCAGCTGCGTTGAATTTTCAATTCAGTTTATTTTCACAGCACCAATTCACAACAGATATTGTCTCAAACTAAAAATAACTCAGAGGGATTTCTTTAAAAGGGGAGGAATTGCATGTAAACACTAAAATGTCTTGATTTCTGCGATTTTAAAAAAAAATCAGATAGGAATGGGTGATATGGACTTAGTTTTATAGGGACACTTGCTACTAATGTGATAAAAGTGACAATAAGAACTATTTATTACTTATTTTTCAAGTAACAGTGTAGCTGTGACTGCATGGCACAGCAATCAAAGCTGCACAAACACAAATACTGCTCTTAAAAAAACACACTCATTTGTTTGTTATGCCCTTCCTTAGGACGCCAGTCACAAAATGAAGTATAATATGTATCACTAAAGTGCACACAGTAACTACATTTAATCATATTTTCAAATGTATTATTATTTATTGATACACCTTAGTTGAAAATTGTTTGATTGTGATCCTGTGAGCAATAAGCTTCTCTCATAGCAGTCGGTAGCTATGTTTCCATCCAATTGTCAAAAAAAGATAATGCGAATTAGAAGCATTTCCTTCTACTGGTTTGGAGCGAATCAACCAGACTGCACAAAACGTGATCTTGTCAGATGTTGACTCTACGAATGGCTGTAATAAACCAGGTGCAAAGGTTGCAAACCAGCATGGACCACACATCTCAGAAAAATGGAGAGACTCCTCGAGGGTAGGACTTAACTTAGAAATTTTTCAGAGTTTCATGCCTATAGTAAGGCACAGAGCTAGCAGTGTATGACAGCATTCCACCACTCCCGTCCCATCTTGGAGCTTCGGTGGCCGGCCACTCCAGGATGACAGTTTTCCCCTACGTGCTCAAGGTTGGGACTGTGATTCGCCACTTCATAATTTATTTTGCAAATGTGTTTCCATCTTCCTTTAACACTCGTACTCTTTTTTGGAAAAAGCCAAAAACCACTTCAAGCAAACGTTAAAAGCTTTATTGCGAAATTGAATAAGTTATTTTGTATTAGTATATTTCTATTTACTTTTTCTGTTGCGATACTCCAAAATGCACAGGAAAAAAAAAAAAACATTGATGGAAACATGGGTACTCGCGCAACGAATTTGCTCCTCCTCTTTAATCTCTATGGATTTATTTCACTTTCATTCTGTGTATAACTTCTTCTGTGCATCATGTGAAAACTCTTCCTCTCCCCTCAGACATGGAGGCGGACAGTGTGAGCATATGGCCACGCATGGAGCCCTTCTTACTGGGTGCCCTGCAGGTGAACGCACCGACCGCCGGTTGAATGCTTGACATCATCCAGACTCGTGTAGATGTGTGAAATGACCCAGAGTGTTGTCCATTTTCAGGTGGCTCCCACCTCCAAGCTCAGCCTGCACTACCTCCGGAAGATGGCAGTCTATGTCCAAACTCGGGAAGGCTGCTTTCCTGACCTGAGCTGGTCCATGTGGCGGCATATCGCCTGTGGAAAGCTGCAGCTTCCAGAAGACCTGGCGTGGCTCTACTTTGAGACATTCGACCTGCTTTTGGGTCACACTCCAGAGGAAAGGCTGGAGCGGGCAGAGTGCCTGTCCCAGTGCTCCTCCAAAAGCGAGTTGGACCAGCAAAGAAGTAAGGTAAGAGGACACCAGTGGTGGAGAGCGGTAATACCAATTATTGTTTCTCATGTAACCCAAAGTTGATGCTGAGCCATTGTGTCTCTGTCCCCAGTTGTCAGTGGACACGCTTCAGTTCCTCCTCTTCCTCTACATCCAGCAGCTGAACCGCGTGTCTCTGCGGACGTCTCTGATCGGTGAGGAGTGGCCCAGTCACCGAGCTCGCTCCCCCTCTCCATCAGAGCGAGAGACCAAGGCCAGCTCTCAGAACAAGGTGACAGACACTGAAGCAATCAAAGCTGCACCATTCAGTCGGGACCGACCCGACTGAATGGTGCATGTTTGTTGTCTTGAAACTGGAAGCACGGGTCTTATCACCATCTCCTGGTTCTTTGATCTGTCGCTTATAGCCCTTCTTTGTTGCTGGCTTTGTTTGGCAGAATTGGGACGATCAGGCCCATCTGTCGTTCGTTCAGAACCACTTGGCAGATATTTTGGAGCTGCTGGTAGAACCGGGGCAGTTGTCTCAGTCAGGACAGGCCAAAAGAGACTCTCAGGTGAGACTCTCAGGTGAGCCTGTGCTCAAGACTTGAAGTTGCAAAGGGGCAATCAACATCATGTTAAACTGCATAAATTGGGAATGGGATGTTACTCATGTTCATGTGTGTTTGAAGACAGGGAAGTGAAATATTTGTGACAGTGTTCAGCTGTTAGCTTTGCATGTTGTTTGTATACCTGTAACCTGGGTGCTGTGTTGATATTTAGGAACTTGTTTGGTTTCAAGCACCAAGAAACCTGCCCTGTTGAATCAGGTCACCAGATAAACCCACTAAACATCATAAAGTCTTACTGATGCCAAGTTTAAAGGGGCAGTATCATGTGTTTTCCAGGTACATAGTGCCATTCTATAGCACAATCAAGTAACTATGTTAATTTCAGTTGCTAGAAAAATTGCTGTATATGAAATATGACTTAAAAGAAAATCTTGTTTCTAACTTAATGCCTTGAAATTGGGCCTCTGTCTCTTTAAAACCTCCTGCTCTTCCTGAAACTCCACCTTCAGGGATTCATCACAACATGGCTCCTCTATTAACGCTTTAACAACGTTTTTTCCAGCATTTCACTGAGAAGTAGCTCCTATAATGAGCTCAGCAGATGCACAATTCCACCAGGTGTTTGTTAACTGCTGCTGGCTGGTCTGAGCTGAGTGGGAGAGTTCTGCTCTGTGAGGCAGAAGCTCCAAGGAGGAGCTGTGTCTTGAAGACGGGGCTAAGTTCAACCAGGCGTTTTGCAGCTGAATGGTTGCCATGGGAGATTAAAGGGTTTTTCAAACATGCATGGAAGAGTTAAAGCAACACTCTGGGTATGTTTCTGATGAGGGAATAACATCACAACATGATGTAAAGCTCAAAAAAGTTGATTTTACACAATACTGCCCCTTTAAAGCCCACGGATATTCTTGTTCACCATGTGTTCTGACCAGATGTGTTCTGAATTTCTGTGCTGTAGAAAGATTTAAAGCGCTGTAGTTACCCTTCTGTCATCAGATCTCCCTGGAAGCCGTGCGGAGTTTAGGCCTCCTCCTGGAGGGCTCGGTTGGCCATGGAAAAGGCATCCAGCCCATCCACAAGCTGTTGATCAAAGGGCCGCTCCAAACACCGTCTGGCTACTCCATGCTGAGCCGCTCCTTCCCTCTGCACAAACTCCTCTCATGTCTCCAACAAAACCTCACCCTCAACCCGTTTGGGATGACCGCCTGCCTCCGCTCGGGGAAGAAACTAGCCTGGGCCCAACAAGGTGTCACTGAGTCTCCTGGCAGTCAGTCTCCTTCAGCCTTCAGTCTGCCTGCCTGGAAGAGTTTGACTCCCTACCTGTTGTCTTTTCATTCCAGTGGAAGGAGCCATGAAGAGAGCTAAGGTAGCCCGCAACACCCACATGGCCCCATCCGGCAGCAAGATGGTGCTGATGTCCCAGGTCATCAAACAGACTCTGGCTAAAACATCTGACAAGCTGACCGGCGCCAACATCAAGATCCACAGATGTTCTGATGCCTTCATATACCTCCTATCTCCTCTCAGGTGAGGCCAGCTTCTGATTTGTGTTAATGTTAGCGCCAGCAGTATGAGTGATCTCCGTCTCACATTAACACTTAGAGTCATATTCAATAAATTGGAATATGGATTCGCTCGCTTGTTAGATTAAAAGCAACTCTTGAAAACAACCTTTAAACAGGTAATATATTTTCATTAGACCCACACCTCTGCATTAAGAATATTTTAATTGGTCTGATGTAATATTCTGAACTTGAATATTATGCTTTCGTCAGGTTTGTGCAAGAAATCATCATTAACAAAAATAAAACATTTTTTTTAACTTATAGTCTATTGGGAAGTAATCTACATAATGTGCAACTTGTGAACTGAGTTACTGAAATATATTAACTTTTCATTAATGTTCTACTTTATTGACAATGACTAGTTGAGGACAGCTGGAATGATACTGGCTCAGAGCTCTCCCACATTTCTAGGAAGCTCTTTCCTTGAAGCAGGGAGGAGTAAAATGACAGACGCCAAAATGATTAACAATAAATAACACCTGAGCGATGTTTCCACAGCTACACACCTTGAGTCTTGAAAGATCCTCCCCGAAAAGGAAAACATGCAGATCTGTCTGCACAAAAACTGTTGATGTGCTCCAAGTTAAATTGTTCATTTGACAGAAGGATTCTAATTTGTTAAACCAGCTTTAACTTTGTTTGAATCAAATACAACATGGTGCATGTCGGTGCATGTATCCCACATTTTACTAAGCAGAGTTTCTTTTCCTCTGCTTAGTAATATGCTTAAATTCAGTGGGTCATCTTGTCCTGTCTCTATTTTGAATTTAGATGTTATTTCCTAACTCAATGAGAATCGATAGGGAATCGAATCGATAAGTGAGATCTATGATGGAATCGCTATCGGTACGCTCGTGTCATTCCCATGGAACATGAACTCACCGTGTTGTGTTTTTGTTGCATTCTTTAGATCCGTCAGTGTGGACAAATGCCGTGACAGCACAGTGGTTCTGGGTCCAGTCCAGACCAGCGTCCACATCCACAGCTGTCAGAACGTACGTGTGGTGTGTGTCGCCGGCAGGGTGTTGATCGGCGCCTCCTCGCGCTGCACCGTCCACGCCCTGACCCCCACCTGCCCGCTGCTTCTGCCAGGAAACTCCGACTTAACCCTGGCTCCCTTCCACATTTTCTACCCCTCCCTGGAGGACCACATGGCCAGCGTGGGGCTCGCTGTGGTCCCCAATGCCTGGGATCAGCCCTTGGTTCTGGGAACCGAGGGCCTCGCCAGCCCCCCACTCAGCTCGCCCTCCAGCTCGGACAGCACCTGCTACCGCCTGCTGCCCCCCTCCGAGTTTCACACGCTGGCTGTGCCTTTCCAGATGGAGGGCGACACGTGCGAGGTACCTGGCGGTCTGCCCCCTGCCTACCAGGCAGCACTGAGGGAAAAGCAGAAAAGGATACACAACTGGCAGAAAACAGTGATGGAGGCCCGACTGAACAAGTGGGTATTAGGAAAAGCCTGGCAGCGCTCCATGCTTGGTGGATTGATTATTAAAGTGCAATATGCAACTTTTATAAACAATAAGTTTTTTTTTTTTTTTTTACATATTTGTTAAAACTGTCACTATGTTGTCACAGTATATTATGAGACAGATGATCTGTGAAAAGATCAAGCCCCTCTGCTGGTGGTCCTGTGGTCCTGCTGTCATCTACAGAAATACACCGCTCTGTCCGAAACAACCAATCAGAGCCAGGAGGAGGGTTTTAATGCTGTTAATCAGACTCCTGTAAGCACTGCTCACATCCTCCCCCTTTTTCTTGGCTACTCTACAGTTCGTTACCCACAACAGAGCCTACCATAAATGCTAAGATGTGTTAGCATAGCCAACAATGATGGCAGATAAACGACTCTCCTGTTGTTTCCATGTAGCACCATGTACACAAGATTGATTGACATCGCTAAACCCCTCCCCCTGGTTCTGCTTGGCTGTTTTTGACCGTCTTTCTGTAGGAGCACTGGGAAGAGGTAGAAGAGATTATCTGTCTCTGTGACAACATCGTGTCAGTTTTAACACATATTTAAAAAACATGGGTGTGACAACGTTATCGGAGTAAAAGAACTGCAACCTTTTAATTATTTCATTTCAAAATGTTCCTTCCATTTTACCATTATATGCTGCTTGCTGTTCATTTGGATAAAATTCCAAAATAAGGTGATCAATGTCGTCATGTGAAAACTTTTAAGGAATATGAATACTTTAGCAGTGCACTGTAAACCAGGGAGGAGTTTGATGGAAAATGTCTCCCAAAGATCAATGTGGATTTGATCTATTGGCTTCTGCACTGTCTGACCCAGACAGACTAGTGAACCCGTGGCAGGGCAGGGGGGCGGATGGAGGGAAAATCTCTCAGCGGGCTCTGAAACTCTTTCCTGACTTTTTAAACCCCTTTTTTTCTGGATGTTGTGTGTTTGTAGGGAGCAGAAGCAACAGTTTCAGGAGCTGGTGGAGCTAAAGTTCCACGAGTGGCTTTTGGAAACTGGCCACCGACAGGAACTGGACAGCCTGATCCCAACCATAGCCAACTCCCAGAAGAACTCGGACGGAGCGGCGACAGACTCCAGCCGGGCTAAAGACGCCAAACCTGTCCAGACGACTGCTGCTTATTGAGCTCGTGACTCGCTGCTGTGTAGGGGCATGTTTCTGACCTGATCCAGAACACCGTACAGGCAGACTGCATCCTTTGTGTGACGGGTTCTGGCTCGGGCAGTTGCTGCGCTGCAGGTTCAGGTGTGACCTGTTTTCAGGCTCAGAAAAGGCAGCTAAGTCCTCGACATGAAAGAGCAGGCAAAGGAGTAGATCGGCATGCTGTAGAGCAACATAGCAACAGGTTGCTGTTCTTGGAACAACACTTTTAAGGGGTATGAATACAAAATGCACTGCAGAAAATATGCCAAGATTTCAATGGGCATTTAGAGAAAAACGACTCCTGTTGTTTGGTCAAAGGACTGCTTAAATTAGTTAAAGTAGAACAAGAGTTGTGAAGGTTTTTTTTTTTTTTTACCCAAGTGGAACCAGTTGACCAAGAAAAATTCTAAGAATCAGTTTCCTTTTCCACCACAAGGCATTGCTATTATCTTTCCAATACTGTACATAGTTCAAACCTTCATAAGCATCCACATGCTTTGACTACCTTCCACGGTGACTTACAGGGTAAACATGAGGCACATTAGCTGTTACTGGCTGAACTGTGAGGTTCAGTTCTTCCAGCACTTCCTGCCTTGTGTCACACCGAGAGCACTCTGAACAGAAGTACGTTGCAGAATATCCCGAGAACCTGCGGTAGAAACTAAAGTGAGCAGCAGTAAACCAGGAAGGAGCTCTGGTGGAGTCTTTGTGTCGGGTTCCATCTACATCTGCGGCCAGAACTTGGATCAGGGAATATACGCCACAACCCGTTCATGTAAAAGGTGGAAAACCAGCCGGATCTTCTAATCACCAGTTGGTGAACAAACCCAAACACCGAGAGCTGTACGGTATCCGTCACTATGAGACTCTTGTAGTTTGATAATCCTGTGAAAATACTAGTTTCGTTGAACAAACACAAAAATCAAAAAGAAAGATAATTCACCTTAATTTAAGTTAAAAAAAAAGCAACAAATGTTCTTAACACTACCAAAATTACAAAATATATTGATACTTTTAATATAGATCTCTATGCAATGTATTATTGATAAGTTTAATACTAGTGTGTAGGATATTGTAGTATTTCTTATTTTGCTTTTTATAGAATAAAACTAGTCAAACTAGCAGTTTTGAAACTGTAATCTGTAAAAGCTCCACCTGGATCCCAGGAACCTATCCACATCAAGGTGAAAGTGCTTCACATTAACTCAGATAGGCAGAAATAAACATATTTTAAACCTTTGGAAGCCATGTTGGATTTTAAAATTTGATTGGTGAGAATCAGATTTTCCCCTTGGAAATCCAACTGTTTGTTGTTGCTGCTTCAAAATTCCCACCTTTTATTTTGAAACATACACCTTTTCACACACAATGACAATGGGTCAGACTTGTCTTTCTTTGGTTCTTTTTTCTATTATTTCTTTTTGTATTTCAGTGCCACCCAGGCTCCGTGTCTGAGTTGGGCAGATGCTGATCTACAGCCAGTTGGATAAAAGTGTTGAGACACAAAAAAAAGACTTGGTGTGTTGTGCTGCACTGTGATCCTCCTGGCAGCTGTATGTCCTTATTATCTGTTTCAGTGTGGATTTATCCTGTTCTTACAGCAGGAACAGCCTGCTGGGCTGACATGTGCCAAGTAACAAGCATGCTGCAAGCACAATAATTTCACATGACATGTATGAATATTTGTGAACATCAGCTGTTGATTATTTTTTATAAACCCTTTGTTAGAAGTTGTATTACCTCGAAAGTGTTTCTCAGTAGCTTATTTGCACTCACTAGCTTCCAGCATATTTACAGTTTATGTGTAACAGACACATTGATCACAGAAAGCTCACTGCAAAAACGCTAAATCAAGTATTTTTGGTTTACTTTCTAGTGCAAACATCTTAGTACACTTGAAATGAGACAAACTATTTTACAAGAAACATTTCAGTAAGCTAGAGGAGCTTGTTTTAACTCAATTCCTTAATGTTGATGAAAAAGTACTAGTTCCATTTGCAGATTATTTTATTTATACTAAAGTTTTTTCCCTTGTTATAAATGAAATAATCTGCCAGTGGAACTAGAACTTTTTCATCGACACTAAGGAATTATTGACTTAAAACAAAGCTCCTATATCTTACTGAAAAATTGTGTCTCTTATTTCAAGTGTTCTAAGATATTTGCACTAGAAACCAGACCAAGGATATTTGGTAAGATTGAGTGTTTTTGCAGTGCTGCTGCTGCTTTGTGTTGATGAGGGAAGTTATTGTAAAACACTCTATACATTTGAAGATGTGTACACTGAAAAAAAAGGCCTTACTGCAAATGTCTGCTACCTGAATGTCCCTGCTGCTGTAGCTGCTCTGTAATAAGTACAGGACTGTTCATGATCAAGTGGAAACTAATAAAAGGTTTGCTAGAACTACACCTTCTCTTTGTTCTCCTGCTGCCAGGTTTAGAAACCATGATGGTCCTAATGTACTAATGTGGCTATTTCAGTTCTATTCAAAAATCTATGTAAATCTACATTCCTGACAAAAATACACTAATTAAATCTTCCTTTCATGCGTATTTGTAGGTATTTATAAACTTTCAAAGCTTCCACTTCACAGAACATGACTCCCCCACTCAGCTCCTTCAGACTAGCCAGCAGCAATAAGCAAACACGTCTGCTGAGCTTTTTATAGGAGCTACTTCTCAGAGCAATGCTGGTAAAAACTTTAAAGGGTCGATATGGGAGCCATGTTGTGATGACTTCCTGAAGGTGGAGTTTCAGGAAGAGCAGGAGTTTTTAAAGAGACACGCCTACAGGCTCAAGTCTCAGCCTGATGATCTTTTCTGCACGTCTTCAATAAACCTTATAAAAGAAAAACAAAGACAGCGACTCAATTTCAATGTATTTAATTACAAAGTAAAATTTATTTTACATCATATTTGATATACAGCTCTGGAAAAAAATTAAAGAGCCCACTGCACTGAACCCCACTGAAAACCTGGTGGTTATTACACCAAATATTGATTTCTGAACTCATCCTGAGTTAAAACATTATTGTTGTTTCTAAATGAATATGAACTTGTTCTCTTTGCATTATTTTAGGTCTGAAAGCGCTGCATCTTTTTTGTTATTTTTGACCATTTCTCTTTTTCTGAAAATACAAAATGTTTGCTTGGAATTTCAGACATGTCCTCAGTAGTTCATAGAACAAAAGAACAATGTTCATTTTACTCAAATATATACCTATAAAGAGTAAAATCAGAGAAAGTGATCATTTTAGTGGCTTAAGTTTCCAGAGCTGCATATATCGCATTTCTTTAACAAGTGAAGGTAACATGTTGAAGTTAATCACAGTTCCTTTTGGGAGATATTTTGGTCCCACCCTTTATTCATGGCAGTGCTCTTCAATAGAAATAACTCAAAGCCCACCCTCTTGGACAAGAAGAAACCCATGAATTGGATCATGGTAGCTCTCACCTTTTCTAATTCCAAAAAATATTTCTCTGGTCAGAGCTGAAGGGAGCTAAGAACAGGTCAACCATGGAGGGAAACCTGTTAAAAACTGCAAATATTTTAATTTTATTTTTTTGCCTATAGTTTTACTTTTAGGACCTCAGTTCTTGGAGGAACAAAGGGTTGAGGTTCATCTTCTAGCAGCTCAACGACCCCAAACATCCAGCCAGAGATACGATGGATCAGTTCAGATCAAAGTTTATCCACGGCTTAGAGCACAGACAAAGTCCAGGCATTGATCGACTTCAGAATCTTTGGCAAGATTTGAAATTCAACCTTCACGGATGTTGCAATCTGACACTGAGGTTGTAGTATTTTGGAGAGAAGAGAGGACAAAAGAATTCAGCCACTGGCTGTGCAAAGCTGAAAGAGACTCGGGTCTAAAGTCTTCATAGTCATGCACTACTTTGTCTTAGTTTACAACATAAAATTCTACTAAAATACAATAATGTTTGTGTTAAAATGTGGATCATTTTCACTCCCTTAGCTGCTGAGTAACTTTTTGTCTAGTTGCCCCTCGATTGCATCTCTTTGTTTTTAATGAAAGTCTTATTTCAACCACAATTTCTGTAAAAATTAGAATAGACCAGAATGGCTTTACATAACCAGTGGATGGATGAATGTGGATGAATCCAAAGAGTAGAGCTGAGTTATGAGCTGGCAGGCTCTCACCATGTGTTAGTGGGCTTTGGACCCAGCCAGTGGACGTGTACCATTATGCCGTAATCCTTCCATGCTTTTCTGGAAAAACTGAATAGCACTAGAATCACTGACTCAATTTTTGGATCTCATTTTCATGACAAAGCGATTGTTCCCCTTGTACTAACACTGTTGCTGTTCATAAATGTGAGCGAGTGTTGGGGTATAAAAAGCAGTAGCTGAAAGGCCAGTCGACACCGAGACCTCAGGGGATCCACCAGCGTCATCGCTCAGCATCACCAAGGCGGTCCCAAGCAACAAACTCAAGATGGGCAGGGTGAGTTAGCATGAGGCTCAGGGTGTCTGCTCCAAACTTCTCTTGGCTCTGGACTGGGAAAGGGTTTTTTGGAGGGATATTCCAATTATGGTTATGTATACAGAAAAAAAACAACACCTTTCTTTAGCTTTTTAGGTAGACCTACAATACAAAAGTAATCCATACTGTTTTCTAAGATGAGCCACACATCGGAGGAGCCTCACAAACTAAATTTTTTCCTCCAGATTATCTTCTACGAGGACAAGAACTTTCAGGGTCGTCGTTATGAGTGTGACAGTGACTGCTCAGATTTCCACACATACTTGAGCCGCTGCAACTCCATCCGAGTGGAGAGTGGGGCCTGGGTGGTGTACGAGAGGCCCAACTACATGGGCTACCAGTACGTCCTGACCAGAGGAGATTACCCGGAGTACCAGCGCTGGATGGGACTCAACGACCGCCTCAGCTCCTGCAAGATAGTCCATTTTGTAAGTCAGTCTGTTCTGGACCTATGCTAACTGGGGTTTTGGACCACAATGACTGCAGTGCGGGGTAAAATGTTAGAGTTCATGGAGTGCCATTTATGCAACCAGTGCCTGCAGGGCTCAGTCAATAACCAATAAAGGATGTGTTCCCTGTGTCACCCTCAGTCTGCAGAGTCTCTCATCTAAAAATCAAAGCTGTGAGCCGACGCTGCTTGTTCATGGTTGCGATCACATGACGTAACCTGAAATTCTGCTTGGTGGACATTTCATCTGCCCATCAACTCTCCTTTATCTTTTATCCTTACTCCCCCCACCCCTTTGCTCTTGTCATTCCTAACACCTTTTCCCTTCAAACACCCATCTGTGTCTCCCTATCTCCTCATGTTCCCCTCTGCTTCCAGACCAGTGGGACCCTGTACAAGATGCAGCTTTATGAGAAGGCAGACTTCGGCGGCCAGGCCGTGGAGGCCACCGAGGACTGCCCCTCGCTCCTGGAGAAGTTCCGCTGGAGAGAGGTCAACTCCTGCAAGGTCTTTGATGGCTGGTGGGTTTTCTACGAGCGTCCCAACTACACCGGACGCCAGTACTTCCTGGAGAAGGGAGAGTACCGTAAACCTGGTGACTGGGGTGCCGTCAGTCCTTTGGTGCAGTCTTTCAGGCGCTTCACAGAATGATTGAAACTCAATCCAAATTGTTCCACGTACCATAAGTGATCTAAATCAGAGGCATTAGCTGCTGTAAACTGGTTATGTGACACTTCCACCAAGCTGTGGTTTTGAACTGAGGCCTTATAAATAAAACTATTAACAAAATCACACGTCTTTAGAGTTTTCATATGAGCTGTTAAAGTCATAAATCCAAGTATGAGATTAGAAATGCTATTATTGCTGTTTCTTTAAAAAATTATTAATGATTGATAGTGGCTGATAACCAGTGGATCATTATGTCTATATTCAAAAATCGGATTAGTCTCAAATCTTTGTACGCTCACTGTCAACATTTTATATAGCCAATGTGCCATAGTGGCATACTTACTTTACAGAAAGGAATTAAAGGGACATAAAGTATATTCATTAGCATAATTTCATTGAAACTAAACCACTAACAGAAACTCTGAAAGGCAAACTCAACCCAGTGTTTCAGATGAGAAAGAAGGATTTTACTTACAAGTGCACAAAAATTAACCCCGTGGTTGTAGTTCAAACTTCTGTGGGAAAGGGGTGTGCTGTGGTGGTGCAGGGGTTAATATAGCTGCATAAACAGACCCTATGTAACCTTTCAAATAAAATAACCATGTTTATCAGAACAAAATAATCAGGATGAAAACAGTGACATGTATAAAATGTTGAGTGATTATGCTGAAATTTGCATAAACATTAGCTCATATGTTGCAGAACTCTACAATGTTTCCAGTCTCTGATGTTTATTTCTTTAAATGCAAAATCGACCTACTCAACTAAGAGTAGCAATATTAACATTACTCAAGTAATAAAAAGAAGTACAGTAGAGTAAAACTCCTCATAAGAGAAGTATTATATAATTTTCATAAACTAGAGTAAAACGTGAGTATAAACATTTTTTTAAACTTGAGTAACTTTTGGTGCTTAAGTACCAAAATGGATCCGACATCTTGAGATCAGACTGGAGTTGACTCCATGGTATAGGAACCATCACAACGAATGCTTGCTTCACTTTTCTGTTTTGAGCAACACTCAAAAGAAAAGTGCTGTGGGAGCGTAAGGGATGGGCAGTATCAGATCGCTGTAGGAGAGAACTGAAGTAAGCCGGAGCCAGTACGGCCATATTTACTACTGTAAGATTCTGGCTAACATGTTTTTGTGATAAGATTCTGTAATGTACCATTCAGTTTTTCCAGTATGTTTCACTAATAAGTAATTTTAAATAAACGGTTTACAGTTCTGAACTGTTAGTGATGGTTGCCAAAATACTATATGGTAATGTCTTGTAAATATGCTTTATTTACTACAGTGCTGGTACTTCACCGTCAATTAGCAACATTTTATTTGTGTGTGTGTACGTTTATTTTCTATGAACAGACCGTTAACTACAATATGATTTTATCTCAGTTTGTCTCGTTATATATGACCCTGATAGGTTAATGTGACTGTCTAATTCTCTCACCCCTTAAATGTAGTATTGGAAGAAAAAAAAATTCTAGCTGTATTAATAACTGAGATATCACAAAATGTGACTTTAGTCATAGCCACTTTGGAAGCTAGTCTAATATTCAACTGCATTGGACAACATTACCTTCACTTACCATGTTAGTACAACAACAAAAAAAAACCCAGATTGGACATTCTTTGTTATTTTGTTTACAAGTTATCTGACCTATAACAGCAGGCCCCCGTCACATGTGTCAGCCATCTTGAAAAATGGTTGAGCTTTGCCATGGCCAACAGTATGTGGAAAGATTGCCTCACTTATTTGCTTCACTAAGAGCAGTGTAATATCTTCAAGCTCTCATGCTATCAGTAGATCTGCTGCAATTAGTCACATGCCTGAAACAAAACAAAACACACATTGAATCACATTCTGACATCAACATTGTTTCCCCTGATTACCTTCTCTGTGTATTTAAATCCACTTGTTTCCTGTCGGACCCTTGTCGTGGTTTGTCATTGTCGTATGGGTCTTATTTTTGTGATTGAAGTCTTGTTCTCATCCACTGCTACCAGTGTCTTAGTTCCCTGCTTGATCGTTTACTTGTGCCGCCTGGATTCTGTGAACTTGAGATATCTATATTAAACTACCATTTCATACTTCAACCTGGGTCCAGCCATGTCCATCCTCAACACCTCAAATACCACAATTTATGACAGCCGGGTTACCCTCGATAGGTCGCCAGTCCATTGCAAGGCACATAAACAATACATGTAGCAAATTTCATGTTTGCATCACCACTGGAAAGATTGTCTCACTTATTTGCTACAATAATAGCACTGTAACATATTCAAGGTCTTCTGCTATCAGTAGGTCTGCTGTAATTAGTCAGATGCCTGAAACAACACACAACTTTTGTATCACATTGTAATAACTTGAAGTGCAGAAGCCGGCCTGCCCACAGTATTAGCATACGGCCAAATAGATTGCGGTGCGTTCCTAAGTCCAGCCTATCGTCCGTGGACGATAAATATGTAAAGTACTCTGATTACTTGGCTTTTTCTGTGGTGTTAACACTGCATAAAAGGCTGTTCAACTTTACATGTGGTCAAGAATAAATGAGTCTCTGGCTTGCTACTGACTCCAGCTCCTTTCCTTGGGCTGCCAACAGAAGAGCTGAGTGATAGAAAAAGCCAAAGGTATTTGTACAGTTTTGCTTCTGAAGCTAATCAGTAACAGGGCATGCTATGAACTGTAGAATATGTTTATTTTAACAGCTATTCAACAATAAAAGCTCATCTTTACAGAGACATGAAAGCTGTGATTGGACTGCAGTTGATGCTGATAGGAGTCTGTTGTGGTGAGCTCTTCATGATTTTTTCACATAACACCTGTGTGGCTGTTTTGTCTGGTTTTCTGATACATTATAGCTAGCTGTACTTTTAGAGAAAAAAAACTCTTAATGACACATTGTCTAATATTTTCTACAACGGTTCGGTTTTTTAATGCTGTGGATTTAAAGGGTATTCTTAGAGTTTTCTTCTTAAACCAAAAGTCTTCATTTGCCATGTCTGAATTGGGTCATGCCTATGATGTTATCATACACACACATCATTACTATGTGGATGATAATCTTTCAGTTATCAATACCTTATTTAATCCCAGCTGATGATAAAGTTTTTGATGTCGTATTAAGTCAGTGCACACATTGTTAGCATAAATGTCAAATGTGTTTGTTGTTTTTAATGAGGTATCTGAAGCATTTTTTTTTTTGGCGGGAAATGATTATATATATAATGAACAGAAATAATAATAATAATAATAATAATAATAATAATAATAATAATAATAATAATAATAATAATAATAGTAGTAGTAGTAGTAGGAATAACAAGCATGCCATGGGCGACTGAGGTTTTCAGAAAACAGAACAGAGTACACAAGAAGAAACAGACAAACTGATGTTGAATTATTTTAGTGTTCATGACAGTAAGAAGTTAAAGCAGAAGATGGAGAACTTTGGAGTTGTAATAAGTGTTATCATCTGGCTGTACTCTCCAACTCCTTTTTTAAAATCATATCTCAGTTTCAAGGTCAAGTCTTGCTGTTGTGGGTTGCAACAACTTGTTTCATACAAACACATTTTCCATCTCATTTTTCTTCTTTTCTAAGGTTTGAAATCTTCCTGTGATGCCAAGTATGATGGAGTTAAATGCTATGGATCTTTGGGAGGAACATTGAACATTCAGATAATGGATGATGCCTCAAAAATACCTTATTTCAAGTGGGTAAAGAACCGCTCAGTGCTACTCCGCTGGATGGCCAACAAGACTGTAAGCCGTACAAGAGATAGCAGATTTCACTTTTTTCCAAGTAGTGGGACAGTTAGGATCACTAACCTGACAGCGGATGACAATGGTCTATATAAGCTTGATCTGATTAGTGAAAATGGAAAATATGAAGGCTCAAAAGTTCTGCAGCTGCACGTTGAAGGTAATCCACTGTTGATCTTCCTACATTTTCTGCTTCCTTTGTTTTTCCTCTCATACATTAATAGAAGTTATAAAAATTTTGCATTGGATTTCATACATAGAATGTGAAATATAGCTGTCATGTCTGTTCTGTTCATTTCCAACTTCCCATCAAATGGAAGAAAGGCCTATATCTTAATTTAATATTTAAATAATAGTTCTGTGGTTTCTCTCTCAGCTCCTGTGTCTTCTGCCTGGCTAGTCTCTGAGTGTGCGTCCTTGGGTAAGCAGAGGGTGTTCTGCTTTTCTGGGGCAGGGGACAATACTCGGTACAAATGGACTCTGGATGGACGACCACTGAAAGGCTTTGAGAACATGTATGGAAACATTCCGGCTAGCACCATTCTTCTGGGACCGAAGAAAACAGGTCGTCTGGTCTGCTCAATCAGCAATCACATCAGTCATTCCTTCAAAGAGATGAAGGTGACCAGCTGTGGTGAGTAAAATCATCATTTTAAATGAAACAGCCTGATCGTTCATATTCATCAGCTTTATTTCTAAAAGCTTCCCACCTGAGTGTTATTTAATCAAAAGGACACTGGGTATTTGGACCAGCAGCAGCCAATAAAACATGGACCAAATTGGAGGAGGAAAAAAGAAAGAAGAGTTTGAAGAACGTTTATTATATCGTTTTGTGTGTGAAGTGGTGTTTTTTATTGCGTGCACAAATATATCTTAATAAAATTCTGCTTAATGCAGATGTTTCTGTTAACAACAGATACACTTTTTATTCATACAAACCACTGTAAAAAGCACAGGTGTTTACCTGATAAACTTTATGCTTCTCTCCATGACAAGCACAGTCACCTGGATGGTCTGGCAGTTCAACTCCTGTTCAGTCAGGTGCATGGGCTGTAGGGTCTAGTTCATCACCAAACCCAGATTTCAGGCTTGATCACTAGTTTCTAGCTGTAATAACTGTACTTTCGGCTAACTACAGATTCTTCCTCTTTAGGTCCAAATATTGTAACTTTAGTTTTGTTTTTGTTCAGATGGAAAATGTTATGGCACATTCAAGCATTGATTTATTAAGTTAATCTGCTTATTGCTTGGATGGGTTTAGGGTGACAATGTGTGTCATCTGCAAAAATGTGGTAACTAATCTTCCCTGTTATAACCTTAGCTGGCAGGACATTGCAGATATAAAATAAGAGGGGCCCAGGATTGAACCTTGGGGTACTCTCCATGCTGCTTATGTTTGCTCAAATGAAAAGATACTTCTTGACACAAAGGAGCTCCTGTTCTTTAAGTAAGACTCGAACCAGTCAGGTAATGTACGACCCAGTCTCCAGTTGTTTCAATTATGCACCATATAATCCTCTGTTCCACTTTTTAAAAGCACTGTGGCTACAAACTGCTGGCCACAGTGCTTTGTGCTTCATGTTCTATGCTTTCAGTATTTATTGGTCTTATGACCCTAAAATGTGTTATTTTCCCTGGAAGAGTCTTTTAATTCTTCATTGTCTGCTTATTCTCCAACAGTGACGGGTGGGAGAAAAAAATCTGGTTAGCTCTGGATGAAACTGTCCCACAGAAATCGGTACATGGAAAGTTACCAACACCTGGCACAGATTTTACAGTACTTCAGTTTTGACTCACTACAGTACAAGTTACGACAATACTCAAGTTATATCAATACCAGTGATGTTGATGAATGTATATGATTCCAGTCCATATTGTGGTAGCTCAACATAGTGGTTTTTCTTCAAAGTACATGAGACCCTTTCTGTCTTTGCCATTTTTGTCTTTAAACACTCGCTGTATTAATAGGGTTGTTGCCTTCTGAGGGTGTTAAGGTAAAATCCCTCTAAGCTGTGACTATTTGACTTGGGAAAGATAAAATAATGTGAGGCTGACCAGATGTGTGAGTGTCATCCTCTACCCTGGCTGTAATCTCAACCGTCATAACCTACAGTACTTCAATCATGACTAGAACTGTGTGTCATCTTTGTGAACTGCAGCTATTCCTGCAGTTCACATAGAGCTGTGCAACCAGAGCTGTATATATATACATTATGTTGTGATTGTTGTCTTTGGTTGGGTGAACAAAATCCTGCCTAAGATCAGCAGCTGTTAGCGATCAGTAGCACACAGCTGGCAGATGTTTAATGTACTACGGAGCAGAAAGCTTACATCATTGTTTCTCTCTACATCCAGTGGCTGGTGCAGGTTGCTACAACCGATAATAGCCACACAGGGAAGAAAGAAACAAGCGCACCCAGTACAATACTTTCATCCTATTGGCTGAGAGGTTGCCAGGCGACTGGGCCAAAAGGCAGTTCTATGTTTTGTAAGCGAGCAGACTAAGCCTGAGCATGAGGAGAAGATTTGAATACAATCATTACAAGTTTTGAGAAGAAAGACATGAAGCCCTGCTTTCAAAATAAAAATGTAAGCAAAAGTATTAAAGGTTTTGAGAACAAAAAATATGAAATCCTGCTTTCAGACTGAAAATGTGCACTCTTGTGCATTCCTACATTCATAAATGTCAAACTCTCCAAAGGCTTCAAACACTTCAAACAGACGTGCAAGCTACTCCACGGCATTTTTCAATGCACCTCAGTCCATATAGGCTTTGCATGTAAACCAGATGCCTCTGTAGCTCAAATTTGTTCTGAATGCAACTTTACACTGCCTCATTGTGAAGCTTACCAGAAGGACATTAACAGATTATTTTGCACCTTAACAGAAGTTCCCAAACAACAGTATTTTACGCAATGTTGATTTGCTGTTTACTTTGTCACATACTTTCTGAAGTATGTGACAAAGTGCATTGTTTGCGCATTATATATGTATCAAAGTAATGTGAAATGTTCACGCATATATGATGATTCCATGAACCAGTGCTACTTCTTATTCTTTGCAAATAGCTGATGTGCATGACATTGTTGCTGGAGTGAAAAAACACAAAATCCCTGGTGATTGTTTGGAGGCCGCCGGCCATCCTGGCGTCCTGCGATACTCCAGACCTCACAGATGGCCAGTCCGCCCGAGCTCAACAAAGAAGTTGAGGTGTTAAGTTGCCATGATGAATCAGCTAGTTCAATGAAAGATCTGGTGATGTTGGTGTTATTTTGTTCCCATTTACTCTTATATAGATTGTGTGCCTCTGTGGTAATTCTTCCATTAAATGTAGCTGATAGCGAAAATTCAACCTGGAAGACTCCATCACCTCCGTTCGCCCATCGGCGTTATGCTCATCTCCGACCTCAGCTCTGGACCTCACCCGGCGTGTCCAATCATCAATCAAGCTCTGCATAAAAGGATCCACACTGAAGCCGTCAGCCGCTTCCCAGCTGCGTTCAACCCACCACCTCCCCTTCTCCACCCACATCCTTCGGCTCTCCAGGATGGAACCCTTCCTGACCACCACCACCAGTGTCAGGCCCTGGGGGAGAGCATCCCTAATCGGTTATCCCTAATCGGTTATCGGGATGTTTGTTCATCGAGTTCACATCAAATCTCAGCTCAGATCAGCTGCCGGGGCCCGAGTGCCAAAGATCTGTTATTCATTGCTGTCATTAAATCTTTCAATTGTTCCTTTTTATTTGTCTGAGTCTTTCCAGATTGAACTGATATTTCTTTGAATTTCAGTTGTGAAGAGGAATATATTGACCATTTTTGCCCAGGTTGTTGCTTGCCTCATGATTGCTGGAGATTGACACCGGCCCGACTGGCGACCCTGCAAGGATAATCATGATCAGATAAAGGATGGATGGAAGAATAAAATATGAAAAACCTGACAACTTCTCACTCTCCCAAAAGTGGAGGATGCAGAGATCCCTGCTCTGTTGATTGAAAGGAAACATTCTACTCGCTAAGTTTATTCATATGAAAATCAATTTCTGAAGTGAAATTTTAAAATATAAAATCTTCTACAGAAAAAGATTTTAGAATAATCATCACGAATTCAATACATCATGAACCAAGTTATAATTTAGTGCCCCTTTTCTGATATTTGTCTGTAACAGGTCTGGTCTTATGTCTTAGGTTTGTCATTCTTGAACTTTGATATTTTCATTACCTTTCTGCTGTACAGTGGTGCATCTGCAAATATGTTGTTTTTGAAAGAAAATGTATTTGATCAAACATTATTAAAATTTAAATATCATAAAGTATTATTTTAATTAAAGACAATAGCTTTTAAACCACACAGCATCATACATAATGTGCCCTGTTTTCTCTCTTTTTTTTTGTAACAGTAAAACTTGTTGTTGGCATCCTCTAAGAGGTGAAGTTTATGGAGAAAAAAAAATGAATTTTTTTCAGCTGTATGAATAGTAGTGTGAATACACATTTGTCTGCCTTGCATCATGTCACTTCATTTAGCTGTTATCTCATAGAGGAACTACAGATTTGTGAAGTTATGCTATTGTCACAAACAATGTTGACTAAAAGTTGCCATGCACGTCATGGTCAAACAAAAAATAGACCCATAAATTGTTTTTAAGTTCCATGGAAATGAATCAGCTAGTTCAATGAATTAATTTAGAATACATTTGTAATTGAATTAATACGCTGAAGCCTATGAAGCACAATAAATTATGATTTAGTATAAGTAAAATACAAGGGAAAAAATAAATAAAATTACATATACACACACACAATAAACAGATGACTTGACAGAGTGATGACATGAAGCTTAGATGGACGGTTTTGCTCATAGCTTTGAACCGGTAGCTATTTCATTCCTAAAGTGAAAGTGCAAATTGGCATTTGGAACATTTGATGCTCAAAACTTTTAATGTTGCAAAATATCTTATCAAGTGAGGTTCATCATTTATCTGTAACATGTCATCAGTAGATCTAAAATGTTGTGATAAAATTAAGTTGTGTTTCATTCATTTACATTTTTAACATGTTTTCTCTGAGGGTGTGTCACTCACCCCACTCACGGCGCACATATATATATATATATATATATATATATATATATATATATATATATATGCACAGGGTTTTAAACTTATTACTATTTAATGTATACACAATATATTGGTAGTCCGTGTACCTTTTGTTCTATTATTCTTTAATTGGAAGTTTAAAAATAATAAAAGATTTATTTATTCATTTTCAGGTGAGATTAAAAAAATACAATATATCAATTCTCAAATCAAAATTCAAACATTTATAAAATGCCTTGCGAGGTTTTTATAACTGAAATGGTGGCAGTTTGCTTGGCTGGATAAGGACTTATGAAAAGATATGAATGCTTATTATTCTGGCTACTGTTTTAATGTAAACAATGCCACATTAAAGGGACACTGAATATTTCTGTTTTGTTGGGATAGGAACCAACCACTGTGGTCATTCATTCCTCCCTTATTCAACTGTCCATGTGAACTTGGAGACATTTGGTCCTTATTCACCAACGTTACACTGTGAGAACCTAATATTTAGTCATGTGAAATATTTCACCCAAACGCAAAAGCTGTGAGGATTGTTGGATTCCGACACAGAGAAACAGAATACCGCACAACAATCAAATGAGGAGTTTTATAAATGTTTCATTTTCGATGGAAAAGCAAAACAAAACATACAGAAAGACATCAATGTTTTGTATTTTTTGAGTTTCACCTGAAAATGAATAATGAAATCATGTCTTTTTAATTTTTCAATTTTTAATTCTCAGTTTTAAAAGAACAATTAAATGACTGGTAAGACCATCACTGTTTTATGTGTTTTTGTCTTGATTCTCCCATCAAAAATCAAACATTTATGAAATGCCTGATGCAAACAATTGACATTCAGCAACAACCTCATTTGGTTTCTCATCTCTCTGAAAAACAATAAAGAACACATATGGAAGTTAACTTGTCTAAAAAGTGGTTGACCAGTTTATGACTCCGATTTTTTCCCCCGTGGAAATACAGATAGTGGTCACAGAAAGTGTCATGAAGCGGTGATTGAGAGGTGGTGAGGATTAACGCTGAGACCCAGGTTATGGTGATGATGATGAAGATGATTTAATAAAGAGACCTCAAACAGTCCAATACAGGCGGCACGGCAGCGAGAATAGCACACAGCTAATTACCGGTAGCAACTGATACACAGAAGACTGAAAACGAGATATGACGGCGACACAGACTGACGCAGACAAACACAAGGATCCGACCAGAGACAAAGACAACAGATGGGACTAAATACACAGGGAGGGTAATCAAGGAATGAGACACATCTGGGAAGCAATCAACGGGGAAGAAGCAGAAACAACAGAGACTCAGGACAGAAAAACCTTAAAATAAATACACAGAAACGCGGATCATGACAGAGAGATACAACAGGTTATTGAAAGATTACAAACAAAAATGAGATAACACATTTTCAACATTTTAAAGAAAACTGATTTTTAAAAAAAATACTTCTTTTTTTTTCAAATCTCCAGCCAAGACAACACATTATAATAAAAACGTGAGGTTTTTAGAGATGAAGGAGGAAACAAGTCAAGCTAAGATCTTTCTAGGCTCATCTAACGGAAGTCCACAAAAGAAACCACAATATATTCATGTCTACAAATGGAGAGAAAATTCAACACAGCATTCATGAAAGTTAAATGAGAAAAATAAGCCAAAAATAATAACTGATGATAATTGGCTGAACATGCAACCCAGTGATTCACACATCAGTTTCAGGCCTTGAACTTAGTTGAAAGAACATAGTGCACTTTTTTTTGTTATCCTTAATTTTAAAAGTAAACAGTGTAACAACCCTGAAAAGACTACGTGTTGAAGGAACTGAATGTTCCAGTAGGACCTGTTCATATTGTCTAAGAATGTATGAAGATCGCACCCTACTGGTCAGAGGTGATAAAAGAAATCAATATGATGGATCTAAACTTAGCCTGTTATTTCACTGTGGTCTATACCCAGGCATGCAGACCGTTTTTACAAATATTTGTTAAAGAATGAGTTTGGTGGAGGGTGGATTATGACGTAAGGTTGTTTTTCATGAGCTGGGCTTGGCCCCCAAGATCCAGGGAAAGGGATTCTGAATGCTTCAGCATACCAAGACATTTTGGACAATTCCATACTCCCAACTTTGTGTGAACAGTTTGGAGCCAGCCCCTTCCTCTTACAACATGACTGTGCACCAGAGCACAACTCAAGGTCCATAAAGACATGGACCAGATGACAGAATCTGGTGTGGATGAACTTGACTGGCATACACAGAGTCCTGACCTCAACCCAATAAAACTCCATTGGGATGAATTAGAGCAGAGACTGAGAGCCGGGCCTTCTTGTCCAACATCAGTATGTGACCTCTGGAAGAATGGTCAAAAATCCCCCAAAACAGCTTTCAACTCTTCTGGGACAGCCTTCCCAGAAGAGTTGAAGCTTTTCTAGCTGCAAATGGTGGACCAAGGTCATATTGAATTAGGAATGGAAATGACTTACTTCACTGTAAAGTGTGTTTGAGTGTTATAAAAAGCATTTGATGTCATTTCATCTTGATGGCCATCCTGGATGTTATCTTAGTCTAATATGTTCCAAGATGGTAATTTTGTTTTGTTCAAAATTACCTTAACATGTCAGTGCAAAAAAAAAAAGCTTTATAGGATATTATTTATTTCTTCTTTTTTACCAGTTATCTGACCCATAAGAGTTGGCCTCAGTCAGATGTGTCAGCCATCTTGAAAAAATGTTTGCCATATTGAGTTTTGATATGGTCAACAGTAGGTACATGTAGCAAATTTCAAGTTTGCATCACCACTGGAAAGATTGTCTCACTTATTTGCTA